AACCAATGAAGATATGAAATCAAACCTCCTTCATTTTCTTAATTAAAACTATTTGCATCGATAAACTCGCATAAAGGAAATGTATTTTCACAACAAAATGTGTAACGCAAAAGACCTGAATAAAATCTTTAAAATGCGAAGCAAAATTTATGATTTCAAGATAGAGTTATGGAAAAGCAGAATAGATATTATTAGATAGAAATACATATTGTGCTCTTATAGAACTGTGTCTTCAAGATACAATATTTTATACATAACATCTTAACAACCTAACAAGAGAATTGCCCTTTGCAATCAGCTAGTTTAGATAAATGTTCAAATTCCGAAGTTTAGTTAGTCAGGTATAGGCAAACGTTTCGTATAGCTGAAATTATCTTAGGACAAACGTGAATCATTACTTTACTATTATAAAGAGGAAAATGTAAGTGGAAGTTTGTTAACAATAGACACTTAGTGTCCATTAACTTTGTACCTACATGAGAAAATCATTAATAGGCCAAAAACTTAGTTCAAATCTAAACTCAAAAAGCATCCCATAGCTTCCATACGGCAACAGTGGAAGATGGCAGAGCCAAACTAATCTTCCATTGTAACTAAAAGTTCCTTTCCTAGATACGCGCAATTTTTTGTAGAATATACTTATCGAGATATGTGCAATCAGGGAATAATGACAGAATAATAATTATTAGATTTCAAAGAAATTTTTTTGTAATGCTGATAAATAACTAACAAAGCTACAGTGTCGTCCAAAGCCTCCGGTTCATAAAGATGCCGCATAAACAGACAGGTGTAGGCGAAAAGTTGTTCACATGGCAACGAGAGAAGCTCAGCTGGAAGCCAGTCCTGAGGAGGAATGATTCCGGGAGGAGGAAGCCCAAAACTAGAGGTACGATGACGCAAAAAATAATTGATACTGTGAGTTGTAAAAGATAGACAAATGGCATTTACACGGGCACTCAAGTATCACTTGAGATAAATAAGATGCAGACGGAGGTCTGAATAAAGTAAGAATGAGAAAAGAGAAAAATGATGGCCTATATTACTAACCGCATCACTGCTTCCACAAAAAGCCCTCGATGGAATGGACCAAAACCATATATGATAAGGAAGCCTGATTCGTCCAGAGTAAGGCATTCGGGCAAGACGGCAGCCAATTCAAGCCAAGCTCGCAATGTTGAGTTAGACGTCTGCATTCGATTGAAGGAACGAATCGAGATGGAGCCGGATTCTAGTTCAGTCTTTGTTAGTGGCGACACTCCTGATGACTTTGTTTGCTGTCTAGAAAAATCCACTTGAATGTCTGAAGGCATTTGAGAAGTAAACTTCGTCGTAGTTGCGGCTCTCATTGGAGATTGTTGGGATTCGATGGAAGCAAGGAGTTCATCGCCAGATGAAATTTCCAGTATCTCAATCTAAATAGTACAGAGTAGACAGATTAAGCAAAAGGTCTATGTCTTTATATCGTGCTCTGAAAAATACATATAGATTAGTTAATTAATATAAGCTGGATTATGAGATGAAGAATAAAGTGCTAAATATTTATCGACGAGAAAAAAGTATTTCAATTTGCTTAACGGAAAAAATTATTAGGTTTGTAAAATAAAAAAATGTTAGCTCTAGGTCTCTAGGTCGTGTAAAGTGATCATGGAACTATAGTATAGAAATCGAAGATATGAAAACCAAAATGGTGTGGCATTTTGTGTGGTCGCAGTCTCCTTACGTTCTATAGAAGTTGTTTGACCTTGTTTTCGCAACTTGGTCATATTGGCAGGAATACTTAGAGGAACGCATCTGGTCCTGAGTCCATTTTATGCATGATAATTTCCAAAGTCGGACCGTGGACGTGGTTCATTCCCAGACGTTTCGCTGGCATCATCAGTGAGTCTTGCCATTCTTATCACCACACTACAAGTCGTCAAAGAGAAAATTGACCAAATGTGTACTAAACGGTTGTGGTATCTCTCCTTCTGTCCTTAGCTATTCGCATTACCTATATCCTCGTATCACGCCTTCACTATCACAATTTTTACTTGCTTATTTGAATGTAGTATAGTGTGTCCTTTCGAGCGGCTTTCATGAAAACTCTTCATACTCCACGATAGACCGCACCTAGTCGGGAGTCCATTGTATACATGATAATTTCCAAATTTGAAAGGGCTAGAAATAGTATAGACGCGGCGGAGACTAGAGCTAGTTGGCTGACAGTAGGTTTTACTAGAGACGAGGTCCATACAGCAAAGGCTTGACCATGAGGCTTACTCAGAGGCTTTAGCCTTAAATTAGTCACCTATTTGCAGAGGAGGGGTAATAACGCCTCGAATAGCACAGATGGAGTGGTAGGGGTCGAATGAAATACTTGAACCGGGAAGATAGCAGAGGGATTCTACGGGGCAAGAGGGAGGCTCTGATAAGACCTAGGGAATGAAGACTGCGTAACAATATGGCAAATTCTGATCA